GGCGCTGCGCGGCCCCGCGGCGGGCTCGCTGCGCGGAGCGGGGCTCTTTGAAGCTGGCACTTGGCAACTCAGCAGAGAGCCAGCCGATTCGATTTCTCAGCTCTTTGTCTCCATATGTAAATTTCTGTAGGCTTTTGGTGGTGTTTTCCAGACAAATACTTTACTTGGGACTAGTTCCAGTCCCACAGAGAATAGGTTAGGGAAGTTACCTGCTTTTCTGTAGATTTCGTGATGCAGGAGGTAGGCACTACTGTGCTTCAGTCTTTGGGCTGTGGTTGAGCTGCACATGCATCGATACCTTTGAGACATCATCACTCCTGCACCTCACAGATAACAAGAATCGAGTCCTTGTCTTTTGTGCTTGTTCCATAGGTGTCTACAATGCTCTTTAAAAGCCAGTCCTAAAGTGCGAGCTTTCGTTAATGAACGAGTATTGCTGAAATGCTCATTCAAATCCAGTTCTCCCATCACTGAGAGTCTGACAGTAGACTGGACATACCAGCCCCTCACAGGTGGTCAGATGGAGAAAGTAAGTGGAACAAGGAGTCTTTTTTTCTAGTGGAGATTGACCAGGCCTCTGCGCATGCCGAAAGTCTGATGTTGTTTTTTCTATTTGCCTCGCTGTGCTTCTCCGTCACTTTGGGGTATGGGACTCATCATTGCCTTCTTTCCCATGTGAAATTGCTTTAGTGTTCTTTGGGCAAAAATACTCTATGTAAATGCGTAATAGCATAATGATCATAAAGTAGATAAACTTTGGGTTTTGACAGAAGTGCTGTATTGTGCACTGGAGCTATGTATAGGGTGACTGTGAAGCATTTGGCAACTTTCTTGAAGGCAGCCGTACCCTAGTAGTTCTGTCGCGCAGCCTGCTGCTGATACATCTCGGCGTGGTAAGAGCATGTGTGCAATGACACTCTGAAGACAGTGATGAGGACAGCCTCTACGGTTTGTGGGCTGCTACTTGCTGTTCTGTTGGCAGCATTTTGTAAGCATAAATACCTTAAGTCTGAAAGCACGCTGAAAGTCTCTCATTCAAGGGGGAAACAGAAAACGCACAGCTTTACAGATTATCAGTGACTTCTGCTGCCTGAAGAGTTAGAACTCTTAGGACTGTCCTTGCATCCGGAACAAAAGGGTGGTGCTTGTATAAAGTGAGGTCTACGAAGTCTCTACTCGTAGGACAGCAAGAGCAGAAGTGCAAGAAGCAATCGCTAAAAAACTGCAATGTTCTCTCTTGTACGAGACGAGAAGCCTGCTCCGCTTCTCAACTGAAGATCTGCAGAAGAGAATGAGCTGGTCAGAGTGATGCGGGTGACATCTGAGAGCTGAGGCTGGTAGATAAAAGCCTTGGAGACCTTATGAAATGGGACTGACTCAGAATTATCAAACAGGAACTTGAAAAGCTCTCCTGTATAAGAAGTACTCTTTCTGACTTCTTAATGTATATTCCTTTATGTTTACAATCCAGAAAGTAGATTACTTTGCTTTCTTAGGTGAGTGTTTTATTGGCACAATTATTGTCTTTGCCTCCTTTTAGATTTTTCATTATCAGTCTGTTCCACACCCAGCAACGGTGGGAAAGTTCAAAGACAGGATATCCTGGGTTGGGGATGTCGCCAAGGGTGATGCTTCTATTGCTATCCAAAGCCCAGCGCTGACTGACAATGGGACGTTCATCTGCAGCGTGAAGAATCCTCCGGACGTGTACCATAACATTCCCCAGACAATACTGATAGTTACGGAGAGGGGTAAGGCTGCGTTTCGATAGCATGTCCTCATCTGCATGATCCAGCTGCATTGCAGCTTTGTCGGGATCTTAGAAGTCTGGGCGTCACGTGTGAAATGGGTTCCCTGGAGCTGCACGTTAGAATTTCATCAAGAGTGACCTGAGCCTTTCTTTCTGAGCTAAATGCATGGAGAACTATTGAATTTATTGAGGGCAGGAAGGAACAGAGGAAGCTGGGGTAATAACAGAAATCAAAAGCGTGCATTTGTTCAGGAGTTCTGGTCTCCACATATTGCAGCAATAGGACAAGTTAAACTTTTAGGAAATACTGGTTTAAAAATAACTGTCACATCACGAACACTGATTCTCAGTAATACTTAATTTCCTCATCTGCCCTGCGTGAGGCCTGCCCCAAATTTGCAGCTTAGACGTGCTGGTAGAACTATGTCGTGACCTGCCTTCCTTTGTAGGTTTTTTGCACATGAAGCACCCTACTGTGCTGGACACGTGATGGGAGTCCTACAGATTCAGTGACAGGCTGTTTCAAATCTGCCAGCTCTGTGCTTTGTGTGAAAAGGCTGTGTCCTGGATGAACATTTGTCATGGAGACTTGGGAAAGCCATATTTTGCTACTGGTACAGCTGGGCTGCTCTTTGTCTTTCCTGCAGGCCTTTCCTTCCAGCTAAGTTCAGCGGAGCTGCTGTCCATTTTAGTATTTCTCCCTTCCGTCATTGTGGTCGTTCTGCTGTTGGTAAGGATGGGAAGGAAATTCGGAATGCTAAAGGAGAAAAAAAAACCTGGCTGTAAGAAATCCTCCATCGAAGTGTCTGATGAGTAAGTTCTGGCTGGCACCTAAAACCTGTATTTCTACTTTGGCCTGTTGATACAAGGCCAAAGGATAGTTTCTCCACCGTTCCTCATTTCCTGGCTCTCAGCATCTGCAGTGGAGTCACTGAAATCTACTTCTCCACGAGCGTGGTCTAGCCAGTGGTCAGAAAGCTTTGGAAAATCCCCATGTTGGAGCATAAACTAAGTGCTGACATCCCCCTTTTTCTGTCATCATGTGAGGCTGTGGAACTGAAGCAGTTCAGAGTTAGACAGTCTTTCACTTCTGTAATTGGATTTATTTCTGCCTAAATCAGCAAGATATTTTGCTTATGTGGGCTTTATGTGTTGCATTTTGGTATGAGGTATGCATAACAACAAAACAAACTGAATGATGCTAACTGGTTTCCCTGTGACAGCCTGAGCAGAGGTGCCAGGTACGGAATTCTCTTCCGAACCGGAGAGGGTTCTGTCGTGGAAGGGCTCAGTAGTGAGAACAATCAGGTAACGCTGCTGCTGCTGGAGCTGCACCTGGTTTTGCAATGAATTCCGTACTACGGTTTCTTGCGGAATGGGTTTTTAGTGCAGTGTTCTGATTAGTGGCGTAAGATTTGCCAGCCAAATAGCAACTCTTGTTGTATCCTTCATGGCACTTAGGGGAACGTCTGCCTTCAAAATAGGGGGCCTGATGTTCTTTGTTCTTTTTGGTTTTGCTGTGCAGAGTCAAAGGCTTCTCATCATGAGGAAGAGCCTTCAATTCAGCGTGGTAGAACTAGAATTCACGATCCGTAGGAGATAATAGAAGGTGTGTAGTGGGAAAAGTTCAACCTAATCCTGTGCTTTTCTTGCAGGCCTGAACGTGCAGAGACAGACAACTGCTTGGGGAAACTCACCAACTGGTGTCTGAAGTGCGTGGTAAGTGAAAGCTGGTGTTTTCGTACGTGGTTTTGTCAACTTTGGTGCTCAGAGGAGGTGCTAAAAGCAGCAGGTAGAGCTTGTCGCAACACCCCTGGATGTCAAAGAAGTGTCCCAAGTAGCTAGGCTTATGCTCCTTGGTGTTTTCCACCTATGGGCTATAGGGGGTGAGAACTGCTGGTCATACTGCATTACTGGTAGGGGAAGTTGTCTTGAGATCTGCCGAACTGATTTTTCATTTGCCTTTATTGAACTCAAAGCTGGCATTTTAAGATGCAAATTCAGAATTTCAAGTGCTACCTACTGCGCTGTGCAGTTTCTTTAAAGGCTCTGCCAAACCAGTTTGAGGTTTGATGGTGCTACGGTGGGGAATGCAGAAAGTGATGCCTCAATCCACTATGCTACTTGCAAAAATGGTCGTGTGCAGCCTCGCCTCTTTTTTGGAGGTCTTCCTACTTACACTGTGTTCATCACAACAGAATCCTGCCAAACTCTTGTGGTTTGTTTGTTTCTGGCTTCTTGTTTATTTTGTCTTGTGAAGTGGTGGTTGTCCTCTAATTCTGCTTGTTCACTTGCTACTCTATCAGCAAGCTTCTGTTGATCAGATGTGTTGTGCTGGAACTACTAAAAGTTTTTGCCACCTGCTGTACTTGTTTTGTAAATGTGCCTCTGAGTTCTCTGTGCTGGCATTAGCAGCCACGGCCGTAAGTGTGGCACGTTCCAGAGTAAGCTTGCTAATATGCCTAATTTAAGAGTGGTTTCATTTTTTCCCCCATCTCCTACAGAGCAAGCTTACCTCAGGTGCACCTTTACCTCTTTTATACACGGTCAGGAAGTATGTTAAGGAGGATTTAAATATGTGCTGCTTGATTCATTATTCTAATGCCAGTGATTTAAAATGTTCTAAAAGCATGAGCCTTCAGACAGGTGTGTGCTGATGGTTTCCGTGCTTTATTAGATACAGAATCAAAACGGAGCAATTATGCAAGTTACACGTGAAATATTTACAGTTCTACAGGAGACACAGGAGTTACAACGCAGCAGTATTGGGAACAAGAGTTTTGAGAGGCGCAGAAAGCGGAAAATACTTTGTGCAAAAGGGAGAGTTGCCATGGGAGATGGAAAGGTGTCGTAGTGACGTGCTGGGGAGCAGGGAGGCACCATTGCTTTACCGCAGGTGGAGAGATGGGAAAGGGTGAGAGCCCCCGTTTCGTGAGACAAATGCTGCCAGGCAGTTGGAGACTTTAAAAACTGAAAAATGTCTTCTCATCCTTGGAGAGAATTTGACTGCTATAATCCTGCTTTCATATGGAGTGTTTTGTCATCTGTTTGATACTTTGCTCTCTGAGCAAATACTTGGCTTACTAAGTCTCTGAACATTCCGTCTCACTCGCATTAATGATTGCACATTTTAGAGGTTTCTGTAACGTACTTTTTCATGCTTAATATGTTACCAAATGGTTAAAATTGCAAAGCCAGTGAAAATCTGTTTGGACTTAAAATGACTGGAAAGTTAGTGAGATTTCCCTTCCAGAGCTGTTATGTTTGAGTTTCTTTCGAGTTGAGAGCTGCGGAGCTGGATTGTGGGGTTGCCATCAAATGATTACTGTGGTTAAAACAATAGATGACGGAGATCTGAAAGTATGTGGTTGGCTGCAGCTGAAATCCAACACCTTGTGCTGCTCCAGACCTTCTCTGTAGGGACTGGTGGTGTTTTTTAAGAAGATGGCTGTCTGCCCTGTATAGTTCCTCTTTTGCTTGAGCTTTAGCTGCCGCTTCTCTTGAAACGCGCTTCACGTGTTGGTTATGCAGCGGCAATCCGTCTGCGTATCCATGGTAAGTCAAACAGATGTAGCTACAAGTGCTTCTACGACTACAAGTCCTGTGGCTTATTCCAGCACAGCAGCGTTTCGGAAAGCACTGAAGCTCTTGTCAGAAGCTTAGCAGACTCGAAATTGTGTTGAACTTGTAACTCAGTCCATGTCTTCATGCCTAGTCTCAATTTCTCTCTCCATACTCCCTGTTTAGGACACGGACGAGGAAGACCCATACTGATGAAAGACTAAAGCTATGGATAAAGAACAAAATAACAGCCCTGAAAATCATGGCTAGATAGGTACGAAGGCTGCTGGATAACCCGTGCAGACTGAAGGACCTGCTCTAATCTTGGTAGCTTGGAAGAATAATGCCGACGGGATAATTCACTTTTATTTAAGCACAAAGTAATGATTTTTGAAATCTTTTGAATTTATCAGGAAAAAAATAATCACTTAACCTCACTTCTCCAGTGCCTACAGAAACCTCGGTGCCTCCAGCTGTACAGCCTGTTTCCTACCAGCAGTCTGGCAATGCATGTCTCTTAGTTTACTTGCACATTTGTTTCCTTTGTTACTGGGGACATCCCTCCTTTCCTGTGCCCTTGAATTCAAATTGCCTGAAACACAGGCTACTCCAAAGTGACATCAGCTCTCTAAGGTGATCCTCGTTGGGCATCGGCAATGTTTTCTTCCCAGTTTGTTTGGAACATATTTGCTAAGGACTTAGAACCGTTTGATTAAGTTGATATATGGCATCCTTTGTCTTGGAGCAAAGGCAACCTACTGCTTTTTAGCTATTTCTTGGTTTAATTTGCCACTTAATTACAGGATCACCATTTTGTTGCTATTGTTTCCTCATTCTATTTTTAAGTTGCCAACTGCACAGTGGTGTTACCTTTCATTGTTGAGTTTTACCTTTCCCCTTTTTTTATTATTTGTCTAACAACTGCATTACTAGCTACATTTCCTACTTGTAGAGTGAGGTACAATTCATATCAAACTAATTATTTGTTTAAATTAGAAATGCAAATGGGGACTCTGTATCTGGGGAAACATAACCCCATCTACCTCAACCATTGACTCAAGCAGTGTCCAAAGGAATGTTCCTTGTTCAGAACAGTCATGTTCCTCTTCTTTTCTTCTAGGTAGCGTTTTAGGGAAACAGCTAGACATGCATCATTACTGCCCAGTAAGAAAGAGTACTTTCTCTTTTACCAGCCTTGTCTGATAGTGGATGGCAGGGAGCAGTGGAGTTCATGTCTGCCCAATACCTAAACAGGTGCTGTTTGCTGCTTCCTTTCTGTGTGTGGCATTGGTCAAATAGTCTCCTTCTACATGAGTGTTATAAGTTTACTGTTGACTTTGTGCCATTACCAATAAATTTCTTTATTTCATTCTGGGCTGTGGATTTCCTTATTTGGCTAAATATGGCTAAATATAGTTGAACTCATAAAACTGCCATCCTGCGTTGTTGCTTATCTGTAGAAATTGTCAGATGATGATGGGTAAAGGTGTTTAGGGAACAGATTTAACTCAAAAGGGGATACGTACTGACTCCCCCTTTAGCAGCTCTATGATGGCTGCCAATAACGGGTGTGTTGAAGTTCCTGACTGCAAAGCAGGTTAGCTATAGATCTGTGTCTCCAGATAAAGAAATATGTTTTTCTCCTGTCTACTATAAAGTGATATTTAAAAAGCTTATGCTTTCTGATGACACACTGTCCCTCCCAACCAAATCTTTCCTGAGAAAGGATGCTGGTGGGACACGCAGCCTTGAGGAAGTGGCTTAGTTGTTCCACTTTCAGCAATAATACCTCACTCGAGTTCTTTGTGGAAACGAACAAGACTTCTTTTCTACAAAATGTTTGCCTTGGACGGTGACTCCTTTGCAAATAGTGAGCTAGATCCTGGGCAAATCTCCTTCTGGTACAAAGCTAAATTGCCTCCTAGAAGCTACTAGGGTTCTGAGTTGTGAATGGTGTTGAGCATCTATAAGGCTTAACTCTCTGTTCCTTTCCTAGCTGTATGGAAGTTGCTCTGTGTACCGTTGAAACCACTGATACTGAGGTAGAGAACAGTGATTGCTGTGGTACTCCAGAGGAAGAGGAAGGATGAAAATACACTTTCAAAGTGACTGGGGGTGGGGTGCTGCCAGCTGAAAGCAGTCCCTGCTGTGCATCTTGTATGCGTTTCAAAAGGGAACAGCTGACTGCTCTGAAAAGCACGTTGTCGTGGCCCTCTTGCCCGTAAGATGGCTGCTAGCCTGTGGCCCTTGATAGCCCCAGCAGTAAGTTCAGCAAAGCTACTCAGCGTTGCTTGCTGCTGATACCTCATCAGGACAGGGTCCAGTCTGCAGCAGTGGTGGTTCTTTAACCTGCTTTGATCCCCAAAAACAAACCAGGAGGGAGCACATGCCGCACAAGCGTTGCCCGCCCAGAATCAATCCGTTTTTGCCTTCTCATGCAACGACTGATCAGATCAGTCTGCCGTGATGGAAGGACGGGGACTGAGCCACCTCGTGTACCTGTGAAGCGTCTTCTCCTTACGAAGCTGCATAGCCACCATCTGCGCTCAGGCGGACGCATCTGTAGTTGTCACCTCTCTGTAGTGGTCCCTTCTGCATGCTGATTTGTCCGTGCCTCAACCTCGCTCTTAACTTCCTCTCGCAAGTTGAAAGTGACCACCAAACCGAACCTGAAACAAGAGACTCAAAACCAAAGACTGGTAAGTAAGACAAATGTCTTGCATGTACAACCTCAAGACGACTTAGCAACTCGTTCTTTCAGATACCCCGAATTAGTTACTGAAGAACCCCCCGTGCAAGAGACAAGTTGACTGCCCCAAGCCGCCCTAGGTGAGTATTTCTTACCCTAATTATTTTTTTCTTTGTTTTTCCTGGAAAGAGAACTACGGAAGCATAGAAGAGCTGAGGATTCAGATACCAGTGCAAAAGTAGGAAAATGTGAAGGCAGCACAGTATCTCAGATTTTCCCAATCTTTTTAGTAAAGGCAATTACGCTGCAGAAGGATTTGGATATGTCAGCACCGTAATAGACATAACAGCCTGGGTGAGTGGGCGCTGTCTTCAGCTGGTGCACGCACAGCACCCACTTGCTGGTGCGTGTTGCAGAGGGAGACCCTGCAAAAACATGTTCCCAGACAGGACCAGAATTTATTCTGAGAAATAGGGTAATAAGTCCAGGAAGGATTTGATGACGAATAAGGACCAGAGCCTCGGTAGCTCAGCTACAAAGAATTTTTGAAGTTCTGAGTGTAGATATCCCAGTACACAGGCTTCAGTGTGCTGAGGAGATTTTTATTTTTTTTTTACGCTGGCTCCTATTTTGGGTCCTTGCATGGGGGTGGTCCTGGGAGGGTGTAGCTCTGCTTGAGTTGTACAGCTTTTGGCAGTATAGCTGGAAAGTAGGATGCTTTGGCCTGCTTCACTGAGATATGCTGCACCAGCTGAGAGCTTTGGTGCTGAGCATGAATTTTGCTGCGTTTGTAGTTCGTGTGTGCACAAGCGCAGGTTGTACAGCAAACTGTGTCATGGCAGAGCTGCAAACAGCGCAGTCAAACCACACTGCTCTCCCCTCCGCCTTCAAAAACCCCAACCCCCAAACGGGTCATGTTTTTTGAAAGGCAGATTTGAGAGAATTCCAGAAGCCTTGCTGCTGCTTTTCAGGATTTTGTGAAAAGGAGAGGGCGATGAAGGGCAGAGCTGGTTTTACATCACTGACTGCAGGCAAGAACACCGTGCACTGACTCTGCTGCAGCCTAGAACAGACCCATGGGTCCCCCAGCAGCTAATTCTGGGCTTGTGGTCCCTCTCTGAGCCTGTCTCGGGGGGTTTCTGAGCTTCCTTTGCTGAGAAAAACGCTTTTGGAAAGAAAAAGGAATTAGCAAAGATGTCTGGCCATGTAAAGAGACAGAAGCTTTCTTCAGGGATGAGCAGTGGTGGGGAGGAGGCCTTCCCCACTCTCTGCTCGGACTCTGCAGAGACACAGCAGCTGTTCCTGCTGCTCCACCGCACGTGTACAGAGCTGGCACATCCCTTCTCACCTCCTGCTGCCCTGATCCCAGGACCATGGATCTGTTGCTGTGGTTTTCTGCTCCAAAGCACTGGAGGGGACCATGGATCTCTGAGAGCAATAGGAATAATGGCAGATGTTTACCTTCCATATTTACTTCAGCTTCTTTCATGGCTCTACCTCAGGGACAAATATCTGAGACCTTTTCCCCTTCCAAGCCCTACTGAAGCTGGTCTGGAGATCCCCTGACTTGCACAGTGGAGGAAAAATGAGAGAAGCTGGCAAGATTTCAGAGATGATTCAGCTCCTGTTGTCTTTCTATTTCTGCAGCAAAAATGCATGTATTGGAAAACGTGCTGGTAATGGCAGCCTCAAATTGAACTGTAATGTGCAGGTTGTCCAAGCAGGAGGGCTTCTCTCAATAACTCTTTGCCCTTAAATAGGTTTCTCACTTTTCAGTGGGCGTAGCTTTGAATCACGGAGCAGAGACACGGCAAGCAGGGTACTGACTTTTGCCTCCCTGTGATCCACGCGTGAACACTGGCTGGCATGTTCCCGATGCTGACGACCAGTCCTTCCTCGGGCTGCAGGATATGTCTACAACGTGTAGGAAGGAGACGTCAGCTTTATTTTGAGAGATGTGCAGCAGGTCAAACTGAATGCAGTGACCAAACGTAGCACTGTCTGAATGGACCCTGAAGGGTCCAGCAGAAGTTCTCACCACGTGCAGCACCCTGGAGCAAGGGGGTTATTTCTAGGGTAAGGGGTCTCTGGTTTTAGGACCAAGCTTCTCTGAGTATGTAGTAGATAAAACGTCCCGTTGTTCTCTGAGCAGAGTTAACATCTGTGAACATCTCAGAGCAGATGTTAGAGATTCGACCCCCAAACCACCGGAAAGATTCATGACTTAGGGGAAAATGCAAAGGTGTTTCAGGTTGAGCCCTCCCCCCTGCTCGCTCTCTCTTCCTTTCCAGGCAGGGCCCCGAGCAGTCTCAAACCAGAGATGCATCTGACATCTGCGCTTCGCTGAGTTTTAGGCTCCCAGCTGGGATAGTGGGAGAACATCCGGGCAGCAAAGATCGTGGCCCTCTCCGAAGAACTGGAGGAAGTCTTGTTCTGACCTTGGGATTCAGTTCAGTTGCAAGCTGTTGGTGTCCTGCCCCGGGGGAAACCGATGCACGCATCACCCCTGCTCTTCTTTCTAGAA